TAGTTAATGCGCTTTATTATTCTATTGTTATGAAATATAAAACAAAAATTAGGTGCTTTATTCGCATGCATCTACTTAAAATAATTAATGACAAGTGCTTATTCCCTTAATTAATCGTTTAATTACAAGGAACACAGTGAACAAAATACTTCTGACCTCACACTTGGAAGGGGTATGGATTCCAACTATGTTCAATTATAATAAAATTTGGTCAGTTGGGAGGAGGTAGCAAAAGCCAAAATCTGGTAATATGGGATAGTATGTATATATATATATAATAAGAAGCCATTTGACCAGCTCTAATATTATAAACGTGTATTCATTGATAATCACTTTTCTTTTCGAAATAAAAGATACTAAACATAGAGCCTTCTCTGTTAGCTGATAAGTTGATTTAAAAACTTTTGTGAATAGGGATGGACTACGTATTTTGAATATGTTGAATGTTGCATTACATATCAATTATGATGAAAATACTAATTTGAGAGGTTTTGTTGCCGAAATAGCTAACGTTAATGTATAGCGTGCACATTAAACAGACACGCACGTATGTGCATTTATGTGTTTAATTTGGGGTAATTGGAATGTTTAGTTTTTGGGTAATGGGTATAGTGATATTTTGGTCTTAAAATTTTAATTCTGACATATTAGTTGCTAAACTCTCATTTTTTTGACAGTTTTGATCCTGAAGTTAAAATTAACGGATAATTTTTAAAATTTAATGTAGATAATTGCATCCTTTTCTATAGTAACTGAAACTTTTACATGAATAATTAGCAGAAGCATAATATATTAAAATTTTCAACGAATAAAAATTTTACATATAATGTAACTATTTCTACAAAATTCAAATTTTATCACGCGATGGATACATGATTATCTTTATAAGGGTCCAAAATTGTTAAAAAGTGCGAATTTTAGAACTATTGTGTCAAAATTAAAAGATCTGGGACCAAAATGTCAATGACTAATAGCATCAGTTACCCTTTAATTAATTTGTTAGCATCATTGTTTGAGAGTTTTTCCTGAATATTTAATTTTATAACTGGCAGTGGGATTACGTTTGCAATATTGCAGTGGACCATCTCCAATTTAGTATCAAGTTAATATATCAATGCTAAATTTTGGTTTTGAGTACAAAAGAGAGTTTCCATGCCAATCCCACATGCTAAATCTGGTATATATAGCACATGTTAAATTTGGCATTTGGTTATCACTTGCTGATTTGTTGACTTTTCCATTTGTTAATTATATTGCCACCTTTCAATTATTTACAAATTAGAAGCTAAAAATCAGAAGCTAATTAGTTTTTTAAGGGAAAATTTCATTTCAAAATAAGTTAATTACAAACTTAAATATAGCCGCAAATAATCATTGATTATAATGGAATTTGATTTAAACATTGACTAATACACCAATAAAGACGGATAAACAATAAGACCACGCAAACACAAGTGCCAAGACTTAAGAAGAAAAGATCCCCTTAGCACATATAAAATCGAGCAAGACTAAAGCTTAGAAAGAACCATTATAGTACGTCAATGGATAAAACCAATTGACCGAAACTAAACAACAAATACTGAAGATACGAGTGACATGACCTAAGAATAACTCTAACCGTATACCAACATACACACTGTCAATAACTAATTCAAATAGCTGAGACAAACGAAATGAGAACGTAAGGAAATAATTTCCGTTATTAGAACACATAAAATGGTGAAAATAACATCGCCTTTATTATAAACAAACAGAAAAATAATGGAGATAAGAACACCACAACAAGAGGAAGACAGCCATTGCTACCACCAATATCGAAATATCTCCCACCCACAATCAATGCCTCGCCCAAAATCCAATGAAGACACCTTCGTTCTCTCGATTCGGCAACTCAACACCACGGACCTATCTCACCAAGGCCGGCCTCCGCCGACCAAGCATCAAATCTACCACAACAGGAGGCCCTTGCGTGGAGCTTATCGACTATATATTCTTTGCAAGTCCCAAACATTCTCTCACCTAAGCAACTAACATCCAGCCTCATCTCCACGAACAGAAAAGTCCCATATGTAACCCTCCTCTCTCAAACCATGGCATGATAATCAGCTCACTAGGCGGTGCCGGACTTCGGCGGAGATAGTGGTGCAAGCAAAACTATAGAAACCCTACGGTGGTACAAGAATTAGTGATATTTAATTATAAGGGAATATAGTTATTTTTTTTTAGAAAAAAAAAATAACTCACAGTTAGCTACAGAAAATAGAATAAAGACTTTAAACAAATATAAAGAAATAACAATAACAAAACTTTAAACTACTGCAAGTCAACGGAATAAAGACCGTGAGCAATTATTCTAAAAAATGTGGTAAATAATTGCTCTCATCCCTCATGGAGAAACAACCCTTTTATCGGTTGTCTCCTATAGTCCTGTATGAAAAAAAAAAAAAAAAAAAAAAAAAAAAAAAAAAAAAAAATTTTTTTTTTTTTTTGGTGAAAAAAG